GGTATAGTGTAGCCTTCATGTAGGCGGAACATCCAAGTAATCATGGTTGCTGTTTAGCTGCCTTTGGGGCTGGCCATATTTTCCTTCTGCCATTTTAGCATGTTGTCAAAGGGAATTCTCTGCTGGATATGTCTAGATTTCTCTTGCCAATATCGAATCTCCCACTAATCTCCCACTTCGTCTTCTGTAAGGCTTTTTGGCTCCCACTCCCCATCCTAGTGCTAGGGAATGTTCGCCGACGCCCAACAGCTTCCTCCAAAACTTTGTGAGGGACCCTTTTTCAAGAGTCGCACAAATAACCAAGAACACAAACAAACAGTTTTAAATGTTGGTTCCTCACGAGCCACAAAAGTCACAGTTCGGTACCAGGGCGCTGGGTCCACCGCGTAATCCGGCACTGAGAAGCGCTCCAGAAACAGCGCGAATGGCACGGCGATGGGATCGAAGGTATTCCCAGCGAACCAGTTGCTGAGCACAGCCATCCTGGGACTGGGGTAGCACGAGTGCAGTTCTCCCATGGATGTATTTTTGTATGTTATGTGTATGTATAGATAGCAACCGGATCCACTTTAGTCATGCAAGTGCAATCCACAAACACATTGAGTGAGAGCCTAAACTTTAGTTTCAGGATTTCACCATAACCTGCCCAATCAAGTAATGACTATTGAGGTATACCGTGACATTCATGTTATGCTACATGGTTGCTTTGCGCCTGGAGCTCAGCAGTTGTTCTTGCATCAACAATCAGCACACACACACACACACACTGCTGGCATTCACATATGCTGGCATGTGTGCTGATCCACGAGGCATGGCGAATATATTCATATGAAGTTCCGTCAAAATTTGTTGTTCACAGTAAGTACGTTCGAACTTAGAGAGTCCCCCATATTACAACATGGGGTGAATTGCTCATGAGCTTGTACACTTGTTGGGATCCACATCATGTTGAGAAGCTCACAGTTCACATTAGCCAGCTACTAGTAATATCATACAACTCTATTCCCGCGAACTCCATGCTTCTCCGAGAAAGCAAGTAAACATTTAATCCTCATCCCCTTATTACTCACATGTTGAAACTTTTGGGTCAGTGGAAAAACAGATAGTCTCCAGCAGATCCATGGGGCGATTCAGATCCGCCAAAACCAGCCATGGCATGAAACTGCTATGAATTACAAGACTGCACGCACCGAAATCGAGCAATCTCCAAGTGACGGACCCCGGCACCATGGATTGCCAGTTTTACCCCAGAATCGACAAGCTCGCTGCAAATGAATCGCGTGGAGTACATTTGTGTGGCTCCTTTTGAGGGTACCCTTGCGCTCGGGGGCTTTAGAGGGAATCCGATCCCTTGATTAAATGCCCTAGCACCAGGCTGCACCCAAGAAAAACCCTTCCCGGGCGGAGCATGTTTGCTTTGATTCCGCCCCTGAATCTGTTAAGCACCAAAGGGGCCTGAAAAGGGCCTGGTGCCCTTCGGTTGTGTGGGCTGCCTGGCCACCTTTTTGTAAAAAACAATCCCAATCCGTTGTGGAATCCCCCCCTTTTGTCTACTCACATTTTATAGCCTCTTCCAACCCCCTGGCCCCACGTTACAGGTGAGTGAGGTCGCAAGCTAAATTGAACTAGCCAGGAAGCGGCACGCGCCCTGCTTCCGCCGCAGAAGGCGGTGCTAATCTCAGCAGCCGCGCGAAGACCTTCTTAGCTGCCTGCAGGAAGGTCAGGAAGCCAGGAAGCTATAGTTGCAAGGGTGTACTGCGGGATTGCCCGTGGGTTCCCCACCAACACTTAGCCCCTGGATCAAACAAACTTTGAGGACTAATAGCTTGGATATGGTTCCAAGCTGTCGCCCTCCCAAAAAAGCGAAACCACGCGGATTTGGCAATCAGCGATCAAACAGTTGGTAAGGCAGGCTACAGTTTGGTAACGGCACAACTGGGGGGCCAGCCACCTAGCTGACTCTCGGGTGAAGTAGGTTGTAAGTTATAACAAGGTAGTGAGTGGAACAAAAGGGGTGGTTTCCACCTACATCATGGGTGCAGGCTAGCCAAAAGCGCAAGCTTGTTATGGGTTTGAATGGGTTTGTGGTAAACAAGAGCACCCCCCCCTCCCCTTATGGCTGGGGTCCTTTTGAAGAAAGGGTAGCCTCAAACAAAGACGCACGCAAATGTTGTGTGTCCTCCAGGCGATTACATGGAAGCTCCCACGACACAGGATCCTTGGGGTAGGGGACTTTCCTTATTGGTTTAAAGGGTGCAGTACTCTAGCCTCCAGGTTACTTGGCCCACGAAAAGGGGCTACTCAGAAAACATGTTCGGATTCCAATACTCAACTTGCTCCAAAATATAAAATTGCTTTGGGGGAGACCCCCTATATCTAAATAGGCACCCCATTGAATGGGCTTGTATTTAGACGCGTCACTTCGTTCTTTCGACGCCTTCGTTCCCCCAAACAACCGCGCTGGTCCGGCCACGGCGCCAAGGTCACCTGGCGCTGCGTGGGAACCTCCCGGCGCATGGAGAAGCTGAAGCCCAGGCCCTGGAACAAGCTCGACAAGGTGTCCGTGAACTGCTCCTCCGTCCTAACTCAGCTTCCCTCTAAATTGGTGGCTTCATTTGGAGGACGTTCACCGTGTGGTTTCCCATTTACCCTCCACAAAGGCCAGGGGTTCACATCCCCTTACCAACAATCCAAGCCATCTAACTAACCCGCAACGTGAGGGCAAAAACGGCCGAGTTGGGCGGTACTATTTCCACTTTTGTACGGGGAAAACGGTTTAAACCCGAGTTTCCCTTGAAACCAACCCCCCCAAAAAGGTAGGAAACCAAAGGTTACCCTTTGCGTGGGAAAGCAAAGAGGAACGCGAAACTGGATGGCTTAATGGGAGGGTAAAACCCACTAAAAGCGCAAGTGGAACCAGAAACACCTCAAATTTGGAGAGGAACTCCTCCTGTGTAAAACGCAAGGTACGCCCTTATTGCGTTCAAATGAATGCCCCCGTGTTAAATTCCAGATCCACATTCGGTATGTGCCTCTCATAAAGTAAAAAGAGCACATGACTAAGATCGCTGGTTGGTTGGCATATATCCTCTGGAAACACGGATGTGCCATGGTGTTCTGGCCATGCGGGCTGGGCCACAGAAAATGGCCATGCGGGTGTTTACGGCCATATTTTTGTTGTCAACATTTTGTTGTAACAAGTACGGGCTGCGTACGGCCAAATACAGCCCGACCACTACCAAATTGACCATGCGGGAAGAGCAAATTGCCAACTACGGGTTCTGTCATTCCGTCCAAAACAAAAACAGCCATACGGCTGTCCAGCTGGCGTCCAACCGCAAACCTCAAAGATGGGTGGTTTAAACATGGACCTCCGAGGGCCTCCCTTAGCGCCGATTCAACAACGGCAATTGATAGGAAGTGCGGGTGGGCATGCCGTAGCGGCTGTAGGGTGGAAAGCAACATTTTTTAGGGTTCTGGTCCCAAATGGAACAGGAAAGAAAGGTGAAGCCACGCCTTGAATGCCTCGCGTCTTTTAGGTATATTTGAGAGGCAGTAAAAGGCATTCAAGCTTTCGTCTTCCTTTCCTGGCTACCGGCCCAGTGGTCAAAACACCGTTTTTCTCGTTTTTTGGGCCTGGATAGTGAAGCGTGTTAAGACAATCTATACCATGGGATCCATTGACTGATTCTCACTGAACACGATAAGGAACCCTGGACATCCCTCAGCCTTAATCCCAAAGGCGTGGACCTTTTTTGTCAAGGTAAGGGGAGACCCCTGTATCGCAGCACCAAAAGGGGAAATGCATGGAACTGCCGTTCCATGCATTCACTATGGCTAGGAATGCGTTTTCTAATGTTCAGCTCCCCTTTAAACAACCCCAAAACAGGGGACCGTTAAGCAAACCACACGCCATCCATGTGGGTGTCTTGTTTAAAGGGTACCCTTTGTCGGCTTGTTTTGAAGGGAAGCCACAGGGCACTGCCCATTCAAAGATTCGGTCCCTTTCGAACGTGATGCCATTTGTTGCAGTTCCCTTTCAAAGCTGGCACAAGAATTAGAACATGAAGGTCCATGATCGCCTTCAAAATACAATCGCACGTTTCAGGCAAAACACTTGCTTGATTCACAAGCTTGGCCATAATCGGCTTCACCTTCAACGACAGCGCTTCTGTTTGAGGCATTTGGTTTGTGGGTGCTGAATTCAGGAGCTGAATCAAATGAACGATCCGCCTCCTTTTGGCTTCCTTTTGGAACGAGTAGACCATAGAGTCTATTTCGGAAAAGATTGGGGCTTCCCGCCAAACAACAAAAGTGTCTGACTGACCCTTCCATCAGGGGAGGTCTGTGCCAGGATAAGCCCAGGATAAGCCAGAGCAAGCCCAGGACAAGGTTAAGATAAGCCCTCAACGCATTCCAAAGGGGTTTTTGTAAGGTCATGGACCCCCACATAGACCCTCCAGGATTCACTGATTCGAGGAGCAAGGCATCCTTGTCTTCCAGATCGAAGAGGCCAAAGAGAAAGCGCAGCTTCTGTCGGTTGGATACCGTCACCGACATCAGCATACCTGGCATAAGCTTGTGGCTGGTTCCCAAAGGTCCATTTGGGTTTCTCTGAATAGGGGGACCCCCCAAAACCACGTGTTTTGCTGTTTTGTTTTGCAGTGATGTGTTCTGTCTTGTGTTTTGTTCTGCTCTGTTTGTTGGATAGTGTGCTTGTTCCCCAACAGCTGAAAGCTTTGGGGTCTCAGCCCAGATAGGCTCCGGGGTGGTTCCACCAGGGTTCCACCAGGGTTCCACCAGGGTTCCACCACGGTTCCACCAGGGTTCCACCAGGGTTCCACCAGGGTTCCACCAGGGTTCCACGAGGTTCTGCGAGGGCTGCGGGTGGTGCGAGCACTAAAAGAGCACCGCATGCTGTTGGGGATATCACGTGAGCTTATTTTGTGTTGCTTTGTTTGGCAGTGATTGGTTTTGTTGTGTTTTGTGTTTTTGTGTTTGTTGTTTTGTGTTGTCGGTTCGTTGGATTTGCTGTGCTGTGGTTAGTGTTGTGTCAGTTTAGTAAAGCTGCTAAGTTAAGTGACATGTAGTTTTTGAGGTTGGTGCTCTTTGGTTTTGTTGGTCTTGTTCGAGTTTTTGCTGTGTGGGTGTGTGTTTGCGTTTTTGCTTGCTTGCCTGCCTGCTTGCCTGCTTGCCTGCCTGCCTGCTTGCCTGCTTGCTTGCTTGCTTGCTCTCTTGCTTGCTTACTTGGCTTGCTTTCTTGTTTGTTTGTTCTGTTTTGTTTTGCTTTGTTTTGTTTTGCTTAGTAACGTTTGAGTTAAGTCAAGTTGAGCTACCCTCCATATATGAACAAAAAAAGAGAGAACCTGAGCACAGGGGTTCCTGGACAAACCATTTTGGCCAAACTCGCTTTCAACAAACCTCACACCGGATAACCTCAAACTAAGACGCAGCCATTCTGTGAGCAAACGCCAGGGTACACTGAAACTCTAAGGTTCCCTTTAAGGCAAATGAAGCATCCCTGGGTTCAAGCCTCTCCACAATCGGAGCACTGGAATCCAGTCACAAGCCTGGGGGACCCGAATGCTGACTTACCTTGAGCCCACAAGCAAAGCGCGCAGGTCTGGTTCCTAGCTACACTTCCTGAATTGGTCAAAAGCAATCTGACTTGTTGCTTGCCACTGAGATTGGTCCAGACCCCAAAGTGACTAAAGTGTGTTGAAGTGGCCCAAAAACCGCTCACAGTACAAGTGCTGCTTTTGGAATAAAACTCCGAGGCACAGGCAGCCATCAGGGGCACAACGGGCACGCGCATCTTCAGATGCTCCGCGGCCGATTTCGTCATATCGAACTTGGCGTAGCCTCACTTTGAATTGAAGGACAAACTCGAAGCTGTGACCAATTCGTTTACCGGGAAGTGTGATCATATATCAAAATATCCCAAGTGGATCATGCGAAACTTCTAAGTATTGCAACCTGTAGCATTTCACTATAGGCCCTCCCCCCCAAAGAAGGGTCTGCTGCTTTTGGAAATTGCGGGGCCCCCCTCTCCAAGGGCACCAAGGCCCCCCCTTTCAGCTCACTTTCAACTGGGGCGGCAGCAAAGAGTCAAACCTGGTGGGCCCTTCAAGTGGGATTGGGAAACTGTTTGTTTCTGCACGCAATATTGGTCTCTAACAAGTGCGACCCCGACATAGCAAACGCTTTCTTGTTGGCTTCGACGTAAAACCACCGAAGAGGGGCAAGAAACGCAAAAGGGGCCCATTTGGTATCCACTCAAGAAACGAGGTACAGGGCACAAGGCAGCACTAAGGTCCCAAAAGGGGCCCTTTCTGACTGACTTACAGGACCGCTATGGATCTTCACATGTTGATCAATTCTCTATCAGGCGAGGCCCTTTAATTACAAAGGACCCGCTCTTCTCCAGTTTGCATGCCTGAGTTAGATGATGGTAAAACGGGACTGTTGGTTGGCATCTGGCATTGACCGATTCCTACTGTGAGAACCCCCTCGGCAAAATACAAAGGGTTATTTGGGTCTGCCTCAAACGGCAACCCCCCCCCCCAAAATGGTGGTTGTCCTTTAGTTTCTCCTTTGCTCCCTCGAAAATAGATACCCAGTTCCCCCCTCCCCCGAGCGGCCATGGCCCAAAACGGAATTTGTGATCGTGATTTCAAATGGAAACCACCTCCGAAAAAGTTGTGAAAGGTGACTCATTGAATGACCTTCCAGTTCTAGAAGGAACCTCAAAAAAACACGGTTGAAGCCGAAACTAAGTTCTTGACAGTTGGCGTCAATTGGACCCCTCAAAAAAAAGAGGTTGAAACAAGGCAGCCCGCGGGTCGACTCTGGGGCAGCTCTTTAAGCGCTCGCCTGGGGGGTCAAAGAGCTTCACCAGCTCCATCACCCGCGTCAGCGGCGCCGCGACCCACTCCTGCAGCTCGTAGGAATTCCTCGGTGTGAGACAAAGATAGAAGTATTATCCCAAAGTGTTTTTTCTTTTTTGTCTTTATCTTTATTGTTTTTTTGTTTGTCTTCTTGGAAATCATGTCCTTTATCTTCATTTCCCATTATCACTCTCTTTTGGATATCTTATTATCTTCTTTCTTTTACTTTTTTATTACATTTCCTATCTTTTTATTATGATTCCCTTCTTACCAGCTCCTTTAACCCGCTGTAACGACAATATGATGGAGGCTTACCAATTTCCAGGATTAACAGACGGGAAATGCCTCCAATCATATCACTTCCTCACTTATCTGTCTCCATCCATTCCTTTCCCGGCCGTTTTCATCTCTAGATGAGGCCGTGGGATGGATGTGGCTTGATACGGAGGTGAGTTTTTGGGGACCCGAAATGGTGGATATCAGAATTCGGGGATTCATGTCCAACCACTTATGAGGTGGCTCCCTGGATAAAATTCATGGCCATAGAGCCCAAGAAGCTTCATTGTCTAAGTTGTGTCATATCCCTGAATTGTCAAATTGGGTGTCTAAGGGCGTACCCTCTTTCCAATCATGAAACTGGACGTTTGGGGCATTTCAATGGCATGGTCCACTTTCATCATGGTTTGGGTTGCGGGCTACCCCTGAGCAGTACATAGGAAAAACCACACAGAATACATCATGATTCATGATCAACCCCCATCCAGACGCTCCTACCTCCTGACCTGGAGAAAGACACACAATACATGCTGGCCGCGTGAAGCACAGTCATACACAACATCTGCCAGAGAACAAGGGTACATTAAAGCGCTGGCTGGAAGCCCTTCCGTTCTTAATTCATCCGTGGCTGCAAAAGGATTCGTTTCCAGCAAGGGGAGGCAGAACCAGCCCTCAACATGGGAATCCAGGATTGCGAAAACTCTGGTGGAGAAGTCGGGGCCCTCTGCAGTCGTTCGGGCCTGAGCATGGGGACCCCAACCAGGCGGAAATTATTTCGTTCTCATGTTTATATACTACCAACATGGCTTTTGATTCGACCGGCTAAAGGGGGGTTCCCTGGCTGTCCCTACAGCCTACTCAAAGGAAGCTTAAAAGGAACTTCCGTGTTACGGCAACTCATTGAAAGCTAGCTCTCTGAGACAGATGACAAGAGAAGGAATAAGCCCGCGAGAAAATATGCGTGCGCGTGTGGTGGGAAAATAGAAATGTGCAAAAAGCATGGCCCTGTGCGTGAATTGGCGTCTCCGGAGAGCTGAAAGCTAGCCTGTTCGCGGCGCCTGGTCGGACCAGTCTCGGAGCACTCTTGGAGCGCGGGCCCATTGGCACGGCAACGCGAAGGTTTCGCAGGTTTTGAATTCCGTGGCAGGCGCAGTGCTTTTGCAAGGTCAGGTGCAGATTTCGTGGCAGGCGCAGCACTTTCGCGAGGTCAAATTTTCTTGAGGTTTCAATTGCGTGGTAGGCGCAGCACTTTCGCAAGGTGATGTATAGATTTCGTGGCAGGCGCCGCACTTTCGCAAGGTCAATTTTCCCAAGTGTGGCAGGCGCAGCATTTTCGCAAGGTCAAGTATAGATTCCGTGGCAGGCGCGGCACTTTCGCAATGTCAATTGCAGATTTCGTGGCAGGGGCAGCATTTTCGCAAGGTCGAGTACAGATTTCGTGACAGGGGCAGGACTTTCGCAAGGTCAAGTACAGATTTCGTGGCAGGGACAGCACTTTCGCAAGGTCAAGTACAGATTGTGGCAGGGGCAGCACTTTTGCAAGGTTAGGAAATAAATAGAGAGATAGGATAGATGGATAGATAGATAGATAGATAGAGAGAGAGAGATAGAGAGATAGATAGACAAGTAGATACCAAAAATTGCTGAGAAGAGGAACGAGACAGAGAGAGAGAGAGAGATAGCTAGATAAAAAGAGATAGGTAGATCGATAGACAGATAAACAGATAGCTAGATAAATAAAAATAAGTATAGATAAAGAGGTTATTAACAGATAGATATATAGATGAAAGACAAAGAGAGAGAGAGAGAGAGAGAGAGATAGATAGATAGATAGGTGGATAAATAAAAAGATAGATAGATAGATAGATAGATAGATAGAGAAAGACAGAGAGAGAGATAGATAGGTGTAGATAGATAGATAGACAGATAGGTTTGATAGATAGAAAGATTAGATAGATAGAGAAAATGCAGAAAACAGATAGACAAATGGATAGAGAGAGAGAGAGAGAGCGATAGATTGATATATGGACAGATAGATAGATAGTTAGAAAAGAGACAAAAGAAAGAACGGCGTAATAACAAGGGAAGAAAGAAAGGAGTGGGGAAGGAAGGAAAGAAAGACTGAAAGAATGGAGAAGAAAAAAAGAAACAGTGGAAAAGGAGAAGAAGAGAACAAGAATCAAAAAAAGAAAGAGAAATGGAACTATAGTTCTTAATAGTTCTTATATTTTTGAAACTTCCGCCCGCCCGCTTCGCCGGCCCTACTGGTAAGCTTTTCAAATAACCCCCCCGCCCCCATCAGGCTTTGAGGGGTTAAGAGGTGATGCATATATATAATTATATTCACATTAAACCTATAGAAAACATATCAACAAAAGCAACACAGAACACACCGCCCCCATGCCGAAAGCATGGTCCATTCTATTCTGGACATGGGGTCGGCGGATTTTACTTCAAGGGATTCTTGTTGTTTGGATATGACCCGCTCCTTGATTTGGGATAAACACAACATAAGTTGCCATCGTCAACTCCATGGACGTCTGGATCTCTGCATGTCTGGATCTCTGCAACTCTGAATCTCTGGTTTCCCCCCCCCCCTCCCCCACCCTTCCCACCCCATTCCGAGAGACGGTCACTGCCGCCGACCGCATTGTCTGCATTCCCAGCGCCTTTGGTGCATCATCACCACCCGCGCGGCCACTGGAGCTCGAGTTGAGGGAAGGCTAAAAACACTGCAAATATGCAGCCACCCGGCTGCATTGCCAGCATCGCCAACACTTTTGGAAGCCCCTGTGTTTCGCGCATCGCCTGCATGCCCTGCATCGCCCGCAATTGGGGCCACTTTTCCCCAAGCCATTCCTGATGGCGCACGCGCGTGCGTGCGCGCGTCCTTGCGTGCGCGCGCGCGGGGTGGGCGGGGGTGGGTTGGGTGGGCGGGTGGGTGTGGGTGGGTGGGTGTGGATGGGTGTGTGTGTGTGTGTGTGTGCGTTGTTGGGTAGGTGGCTGTGTGGTGTGTGTGTGTGTGTGTGTGAGTGTGCGCCATCCTATCCATTCGTCCATCCCATGTACTATTGCATCCCACGGACCCACCCATCCATCCACCCACCACCCGCCCACCGCATCCCTTCCATCCATCCATCCATCCATCCCTCCTCCCTCCCTCCCTCCCTCCCTCCCTCCCTCCCTCTCCCTCTCTACCTCTTATCCGCCATCCATCGCGTCCATCTATCCAGCCCGGCGCAGCGGACATGCGAGGCCGGCGCGCGGAGCACGAAAATAGAACATTGAAATGAGTCCCCGGCACAGTGGGGTGCCTTCCCAGAATCCTGGCTTGCCAGGCATTGGGCGGGAAGGAGTCTGCATCCCAAGTGGCATAAACGCAGGCGGCGATCCTTTCCAATCAGTGGTTGCCTGCAGCGCATCGCGCAAACGTTTGGACCAATGAGGTTTGGTGTTATGGAAGTGCGCCCTAAATGACCCAACACAGCAACCAACACTTGGCTTGTCTGATCCTGCTCTATATTTATGCAACATAGTCTACCCAATAAATAGAGGAGACTCTAGGAGGTTTCATCTGGCAATGCCACGGACAATTAACGGGGGTGCATTTCTGGACTTTCTGACTACAATGAACAAATACCTGGTGGATTCTGAATCTGTAAATAATACCCTTTCTTGGGGAGAGGGGCTATGAAAAACAGCAAGGCTTGCGGGGTCATTTACTCGAGGGGTGTGGAATGCATCACCTTACCTTTTTGCTCTCGCATCTTCATGTCCGGTTGCATGGCCGGACTAGGTTGACCATGAACCGGAGGTCGTGACAGAGAAGTACCCAAGCACCCGCGTTGGAGGTACACGAACCCAGGACAAGAAACTACGCATGGTTTTGAAACAACTGAGTCCTATGAACGAATTAGGTCGTCGCGGCGGAGCAGTGCATCGTTCGAGGCTCGCTGCTTGGGAAGGTGAAGTGCTGTGGACATGGAAATGCTGCCGTTGGCACAAGTGAAGTGGCTGGTCAGGAGAGATTTCTTTAAGCTGTTCACAAGGCTGTGGCCGTGCTTCTAAGGTGGGGGCATAGTGGATGCCCTCTGTCATATTTGTGCCCTTGTGTAAGGTGCATGGAGTATCGGGCTCTTCGTCTGGCAGAAGGAGACAAGAGACTTCGGCTGACGCCTGGTGAGCTTCTGGCGGCCGCCGGAGTAAGGAGACCAAAGTCATTAAGGATGCATTCTCCGAGCAACAGACGGAAGCGGACTTCCATGCGCCACTGACAGGAGAGCAAGTTAATGAAGTCCAATCGCTGGAGGGAGGGCCATTGGATTTGGTCGGATTCACAAAGTCGGTTGGGTGGTCAATGTGGATCGCACTGTGAGTACTAAAAAAGGCACCAATGGCGGCCAAACCTTTGGACACAGGGAGCCAACATTTTACAGCGGCGTTTTTCCCGAAGAAGGTTCTGCTTGATGAGACCCTCGGTCGGATCATCCTGCAAAACCGCAGCTTTTGCTGCGAGATCTGCACACTCGTTGCCAAACCAGCGGAAGGCAAAGGGAGGGTCTGACAAGAGAGTCTGGTGGGATCAAACCTTTTCGAGGGAAACGCTCCTGGAATTGGCTGGCCATAAGCGGACGGCTTGAGAAGGATGATCAGGAGGGCGTGATTATCACATCCTAGAAAAGGAGTGGGATGCTGAATATGTGTGTGTTTGCCCCTGATTTAGGATATATTGGCTGCCCAAGTGGACAAACCACACGAGGCCCAATCCACCAAATACTGGCTTGGACCTGGGCAACGAAATCCCGCCGCTTAGGTGGATCTGAACCAAACTTTTACCCCGTCTGGTAACTCTGGATGTCAGAGAGACATCTGGGAGGGTGAGGTCACTCAAGCCCGACCGCCGGCAATGGAGTGACCAAACGGAACCGACCCAAGCGTCGGGAATTCTTGGTCCAGAAGTTTCGCGCACATACCAAGTATCGGCAACGCGGAAACGTGAGAAAACATCTTCAGGAGTAATACCAATATCGGACAGGCTGAGGGCCGCCACCGGGCCAGGCATGCGCGATCTATTTCAAGAGATGGCGGCGGTAAACCGTAAGTTGGGGGTCAAAATACTTTCTTTGATTAAGGGCAAGGAGGAACATTTTCGCATTGTGGTATCGGCCAAGAAAGAAGCTGAGGTCGAGGTACGGATTCTCACAAAATGTTGAGACCCAATATAGGACATCTCGCTCCCGTAAAAGCCTGGGGCACTCGGACTCCCTTGCATGAGATGCGCTTTGGTCTGAGAGACGGGAAGAGTCTCGACTTTTTGTATATGGCGCTCGTCTAGGTGGCTGGAGAGGAGCCCAAGTTTGCCTGTGTTCTCATATCGAAGAATGCTCCAAGGGTACGTTCTCCTAGCGAGCGAGGGAAAGGAAGGATTTGCGGGGTGTGCCCCGGAGGTCCAGACCCACGATTTTTTAAAATCAAGTTTAAGGTACTAAGTATCAGAAAAATGGAGATCGTTGTGGGACCTAGAAACAACTTCCCAGTTGTCTACATGACAATAGGCCTGCAGGCTGATGCATCACGCACTTCGAAGGCGAGCCAAGAACCAACAAGGCTGTGGCAACACCACTAAAAGGGCACCCTCCGGATTTTCACAGTGAGAACACCGACCTCTTGAGTTGGTTCAGTAAGGAGACCCACGCGTCAGCAAGTGTATCTGGCAACCAGCAGATTACGAACTAAGCGGTTTGGACCGAAAGGGGCTTGCCTTTTTGCAGGTTGAAAGGGAACACAAAGAACAACAAACACATGTTTAACAGTTAAAAAGTTAAGCCCAGTCTAGCGACGGTAACAGCGGTATGAACAAAACAATAAGGAATATTCCATTCATAAAGTGGCTAGACATCAGGCTGTATAATCCCCCCAAACCCCTGGGGTTGGCTTTGGCTTGGAGGTGAACTCCATCTTCGACTCAGGCTTCCTTACAAGCAACGGTCGGGGAGATGACCGGCCGCACAAACTACAAATCCCTGAAGAAAACCCAACCCCAAACCACTATGCCACCAGGATAATCATGGCTGTGTCCCTTGTGAAACCGAACGGCAATAGTAGCCAATGATTGCCGGCAAGTGAGTGCCCCTCATAACATTGAACACCTGCGTGGGCCAAAAACCCTGCACATAATTATTAGTTGCACCTTTCTGCTACCTTCCCGCCCAACAGATACAACTTGTTGCTTGCCTGCGGTTTCTCATTTACCTCTACAAGAACCAGGGGTTCAACCCCCCAGCTACCAATCGAATGCAACAAGGGGTTATCTGAAAACAACAACTGCAAAATTTGCCCAGGACAAAGACCACAACACGGGCACGCCTCGGCTCCTTATGGAAGGCAGCAAAACGGGGTGGGCGCCCGTTTTTGTACCCTTTTCAGATTGGTTTATTTTGATACATACCCAAGTCTTGTGGTTGGATGGTCCACTGAGCACAGGCACCTGATCGGTTTCAAACGGGAATCGCTCCACCAAAAAAAAATAACAGGGTGTGGCCGGGCAACTGGGCCGTGCAGTTGGATGTTTAATGAGTCTAGGAACCGATAAGCTGGACAACAGAGGTTGGCATACACGGCCAAACATGGTTCTAGCCTGCGCTAGTAGGTCAAACTTGCAAGCAGCTTAAACAACTGAGACAACCCCCAATGAACATCAACCAATAATTTTCAATCCTGGGTTCCCATTGCAGAAAACCGAACAAGGAAACCACCCGTTTCGAGGTTTACAGTTGGAGAACAAACCGATTTTGGGACAGGCAAGTTCCTCCTTCCCTGCGGCTCATGCTCAAAAAGCAGACCCCTGGCCTGCCAGCGATTGTAGATCGCCACCCAATTGACCAGAGATCTTGAGGAAAGAGCTCGACAAAGAGGTTGCTGCACCAGCACGATGTGCCAGAAGGACTTGAACCAATTGGTGCCTGGCGCAGGACAGAGTTCTGATGGTTTTTTGCCTGCAGCCACTTCTGTGATACCAATGAAAGACCTTTCAAATTACAATAGAATTCATTATAATTCGCAATTTCCACGGAAAGGAAGGTGGGAACCAAGCCCGGCAATGCCTGCAGCCTCGCCCATGGCGCAGTTTCAGGTGCCCAGCAACATCCTTTCCGACGACCTACTCACGTTGCCATGGAAGTCCCGGGAGGACAACTGCCCTCCTCGATGGTCCAGGCATACCTGTCATTGTGCAAGTGTAAAAAATCCCTTTAAATTTGTTCGACAATCCTCACTGCAGCTTGGGCTTTTATTCTAAACTAGTAAAAGGACAAAACACCCCTTTGGGGGACCGTTGAAGCGCTGACTGGTTTTCTTGTTTTTGGTGGGGGGGAATCAAGAAGTCCCAATGTGTTTGTCCTTTTTGATTGTTTGTCCATCCTTATTTGGAGTTCGAAACAACGGGCCCCTCTAAGGATCAAAAAGTCAACCAACCTGAAGCCCCGACATTGTTGCGTGCGCTTGCTGTGCCTGGTTCTTCAGCTAGGATCAGCTCATCAACGTCGTCCTGGGCGGCTGTTCAGACCCCTGGGTTCGTGCCATTCATAGCTATCAGTCTTCAGTTTTGGATCACAAAATGGGTTTCGCGCATGACTTCATTTATGGACTTCAATGTGAACACTTTTGGGGGGGAGCCTCAAAATGACCTTCGGAGTTGATTCCAGTTCAGCTATTTGAGGATGTGCCTTGAATGGACCGGCGCAACACTACATGAGCATGGGATAGATTCATTCGACTGGTGAGGCATCCCATCCTTCAACTAGCCCTTGCTCGTTTTTTGCAAAACAATACCACAATCGAAGAGGCACCTCTCCCGTTCGGATGCCCCTTTTGGTGATGTTAAGTCGCAAAGGGAAAAGCGGGACTCCCTATCAAATGTGGACCCCTTCTCTGGCCAACTAGTGGGAAAATAATCACACCCCAAAAACGCCCAAGGTCCAAACAAAGCTTCGATGGAGCAATTCGCAAAGGTGATCTGGTGAGCGAGTTTGGGGATCTGCTCGTCATCAACAATCGAATTCACCGACTGCATCGAGAAGGTCCTCTCCTGGCCGAGAGATGGAAATGGGGGGGACATATTCGAGTGGTAACTACAGTATAGAGGCTACTACAGTTTGCAATGGCTTACTGTAAGTGTACAGACTGAAGCAAAGGATTCCCAAGTAAGGCGCCATCCACGCTTCTTGCAGTGGCTTGCCGCGCCGCAGCCCAGACGGACTGACTGGCTAACGTCGATTGTGAACGTCACAAGTCTCACAAAGGTGTGCTTTTGGAGTGAGCTCAATCGGTCATGAGATTTCAGAATTCGCAAATTTTGATCTGAAGACACGCTTTGCCTCGGGACAGCTCAACAGCAGTCACCTAAGCGGCTTTACTTTGGCTCAGGTTTGGCAACTAGTGTCCCAGAAGGACCCACATGTGTCCCAATATAACTGGAAGAGCCTCGTCCAGGCTGCACATTACACTCTTACACACAACAATGATCAGGTTGTGCGCTGAGTTCGGGCATGTGGCATGCGCAGAGAGAGGAGTGGGATGAACACAATGTGGTCATTGATGCCAGTGGAAGCGGCAACTTGTCAGTGCGCTGACATCCGATACAACATGCAAAGCGTCTTACAATTGAACCGTTGGTCACGGTCTGATGCAAATGCAACTGGCCTGGCTGAGGGATATCCAGACCCTGGCTCAAATGCAACAAGACGACAAGGTTGCAGCATGTGGGCGAGCGCAATGATATGTGCACCCTTGAATGCGCCTGACTCAGACAATCCCGTGCATGGGGAGCTGGTCGTCCAGAGAATGTGGCAGCACGTACTTCTGATATCTGAGTGCCCGACGAATGGCGGCGTCGGCATGGACCTGGGCCCTGCCTCCAAGCCCACAGCAAGACATCTCAGCCAGTCCAATGGGAAGAACGCGATCTGATAGATTGACTCTGGAAATCGAAGCATCAACTCTGCATGGCCAGAAAGGCACTTGGCCAATCGGTTTAGTCGGATGGCGAAGACACCAAATATCAACTTGAATGCCCGGTGCATCAGAACGTGGCTCGTTTGCATCGAAGCAAGTGATGCTGCCCAAGTCAAGGAATCGGCCAGGATTGCCAGCGATCAAGAACGCTTTGTGGCAAATGCCTCCATTCGACAGGCTGTCGTGGGGCGATTCCGCAGCTGTGATTGCGCAATTGACATCAAGGCATTGGCGTTGTTCCAGTATAGTGAAACCGCTGCAAGGGCATGGCTGATTCATGGTGGACAACTCCAACAGCGCTGCTACGTGACAGCAGAGCCGAACCCCTCCCAAGTAAGGAACCTTCGTCATTGTGAGCTGATTTCACTCATGGTCAAGCTCGCCGGAGAAGTTGCAACAAGTGGTTTCTTGATTTCGGCTAGACGGTAACTTCTTGGTCCTTCCATCATTGCCATCAACATGGTCTTCCCAAACAATGTAAAGTCCAGGAACTCGGTGAGAAAGTCGTTTTGACTTTGTCAAACATGTTTGTTGTCTTACATCCCGAACTTGTATCTTCTCTCTGCATTCTCGCACAAGAAAACGCCACGTTACGTCTTCCTCCATTATTTGAGGTGTTTCTGAAAGTGGACCCCTTCTTGGCTGGTCTTGGAAAACCAGAAGGAAACAACCTGTTTAGGGGGCCTCCCTTTGAGCAACGCCCAAACATGTCGGCGCCACCGTGCTGCGGCGCGAGCCGCGGCTCGAGCAGCGGCTCTGCGGGCGCGAGGGCACTGAGGGTGGCCGCGCGGGCCGGGAGTCGGGGGTCGCGGCCCGGCTGGGCGGATCCACGGACTGCCGGGAGCTGGGCCTGCAAGGTCCAAAACAAAGCTGCGTTCGACACCTTGAGAACATGTGTATGTAAATTTATCGGCATGTAGATGTGGGTACAACACACCCTTCCGGAGCCCATACGCTGCATTTGATCGCAACTTTTCAGTACAAGTGTAGCGAAGGAAGTACACTTCGCAGCCCTAGCTGGAAAGTCGCAACTTTTCAGTACAAGTGTAGCGAAGGAAGTGCACTTTGGCGGCTCCGGCTGGAAACTCGCAACTTTTTCTGTACCTGTGTCTTAAAGGAAGTTCACTGTGGCAGCTTCGGCTCGAAGCTTTGGCTCGAAATTCGTAGTAAAGGAAGTACACTTTGGCAACTTCGGCCCGAATTTCGCAACTGTACAGCACAAGTGCAGTAGAGGAAGTACACTCTGGCAGCCACTTGCTATTGAGGAGGAGCTCTGCTTGGGGCCTTATAATTCTGGCGGTCCCCATGATTGTTTGGGCACACCT